TTGTTGCTTCATTTAGGAGACGAAACATTTCAGGAAATTATTATTCATTTTATCTACTCTGAAAAATAAATAAAAAAGAATCACGCTGTATAAAAATAATTTCTGTTTCTTCTGATTTGTTTTGTATTGATTGAAAAAATCGCGTCTTACGATTAAAATAAATTAATAAATTAAGAGAGAAGTGTTTCAAGACAAAGTCCTCGGTGTAAAAAGGATAAATCTGAAACGATTATGAATATTATTCTTTTAAAAAAAACACAAATATTTTAAAAAACAGAAGACTAACCTGTATTAAATAATCAATTTGACAATATTTTGATTCTGAAATGAGATCTAACACATTTGAATACAGAGAATTAATTACAAATATTTAAAAAACGAAATTTCACTAATAAAAAATAATTGGATTTGGAAATAAATAGTTGAAAATTGGCAAGTTAGGGAACTTTATGGATAATTACGCCATAGGCCTACATTTACGAAAAGCTGGGCATGAAGATGGAATGTGGAACGTAAAAAATTGATTCAAAAATTTTGACAAGGAACCCCGTGAAAGCTGTGACTTGTAAATCTGACATGCAGAGAGAGAGAGAGGGAGGCGTAGAGAGGGGAGAGAGAGAGAGAGAGAGAGAGAATGGCATAAAAGATTATCACAGAGATTTGAATGCTGAATATTGCCAGTAAACTCGAACATAAGAACTAGTCAAATAAAACTATGCTTACAAAAATCCCTTCGATGTGGCAATAGAATCAACGCCCGAAACGTCGTTTATACCAATTGTGCCTCCGCAATGTAATAAATCGATAACTAATAATTTTAGGGGCAGCCTATATTAGTTCAGATTAAGCGAAATGAAGCCAATGAAACATAATTATTGCTAATGTTGTAATGGAAGCAGGCAACTGTGTTTGTGCTAGGAGTCTGTGTTGCTGTCTGGATGGAAGGCCTCGGTCGCCTGTTGAGATTTATCAACGGTATTTATCGTACACAGCTCACAACGAAAAAGAAAAATTCACTCTGAAACGAAATTTGTTGAAATTGGACGAGATTACCTAAAAGTGTCATCCAAGAAGAAACGTTTTAAGACATCCCCCGCTCTAATAAGACACATCACTGCGCCATAAAGTAAAAATTTACGTTACGCAAATCAAAAGAATGTACACATTAATTAGAAATCAATTGTCTGCAATATGTCAACGAAATGACTTGGTTGAAAACGTAGACCTAAATATCTTTATTTCTTATATACATGAGATTAATATATTAGAGAATAATATTATTACATATTTTCTATCAATCTTATACTAAAAATATTAGATGTACTTAAATAATTTTTATTTCAATGATTTTGAAAATGTTTACCTTCAAACCACCTTCATGCTTATGTTAATGTTAAGTAATGTTACTCAAAAATCAGTTTTGCCTCCGTCTCGAGGCATGAAAAACGAAACAGATTCTATATAGTGGAGTACAAACGAAGTTCTGTGCAATGTTTCTAGGCATTTGAGTTTAATTATAACTAAGTATTATAATAAAATGACTACAATAACATCTTTAAACTTCGGCGCGTAGAAATCCGTACACACGTTCATTAAAGTAGAATAACTTTTGTGAGAAACATCATCATGAGTTCGCTATCAACAAATTTGTTAATTTTGGCCAGTTCGGGTCTCGTTTTTAGTGTTATTAATATTGGTTAATGCTGATTCGGTCTTCAGTTTACATAGACAAATTAGTTAAAACTGTCACTATTTATTAAATGTTCTGAATCACATAATTGTTTTTGGAATGCGGAAAAGCGTTAATCGGAGGCTTCTCGTTATGTAGACGCGAGTTCGCTTCCAGATCAGTGTGTGTCCTGAGAAATGTGTCTACTCGTATCTTCATATGCTTCGCTTGGTACTGTAGACCATACTCAGATAATTTGTAAGATTTTCTTGTGTTAATAATAGCGTCGATTGGACCCGGGATTTTCAGAGTAACTACGGGTGGTTTACTGAGTATTTATTGACGTATATAACAGTGCAATGTTCTTTGAGTGTGCCTTTATATAGCGTGAGTTGTTTTTACTGTGTCTTGAATAGAGACACTCCCAAAAAATGGCAGAATGGATAAGGTATTTTTAAGGCAGACACTACTTAATGGGAAATGAAAATAAGAAATATGGTGGGTTAGAACGTCTTTTGCTCTCTTAAATTTTCCTGGACACGTTTCTCAATAATCCAAAATTTATATGCGTGCTACACGTCTCAACCAATTTTTCCTCTTTAAGTTAATCGACCAAATAAGTTTTAATCTTAAAAGTTAGATTTTTGAAATTACAGACTTCGATAACATTATGAAATATTAACCCACTGTAGCGAAAATCACCTGTTCATTACTTAAGGCATTCAGTCCGTACCGCGAAGAAAACAAAGATCAAATGGTTAATGCTGTTTAAAGCAGTGGTATTCAACCTGGGGTACGCGAAGACATCTTAGGGGGTACGTGAAATTTTAAAAAAAATATATTATTTTATGATAAACACTGAATAATCAGTAATGTAATTTATTTAATTTATTTTAGATGTAGATTATATACTACGTATAACTTGAATTATACACCAATAACTTTGGTGGTACAAAGTTGAAGAGAAATTACATCTGGAGGTACGCGAACAAAAAAGGTTGAATACCACTGGTTTAAAGAATCACACAAGACACACATTAAATACAAAATGAAAAGTACCGATTGCTGAATCAGGTGTGAGGTGCCTTGAACGTCGAGGTTTAAGGTGAGTATTGCAACACTTTTGTGTTGTCATATAAAGAACACCAAAAGCCTATAGATTCTTAATCGATGTATGTGAGATGCTGGACTATCATTTCTCGGCGCACACGAAGAAGTGCCTTTGCGCCATTGAATCACACAAGAGTTCAGAGAACGAGGTTTGGTGCAGAGTGAGCGATGCTGAGTACTGGGGGATGCGGACAGATGAATGACAAATCACATGGAGCAAAGAAGAGCCTGTCATCCGCTGTCTGTCACGACAGAACGCGCCTTCTTTCGGGTGTGAGTCACTTTTATCCGGTACGTCGTCAAATGATAAATATCACGACACAACTTCGCTGCCTCGACAGAACGTTGTTGGTTCACGTGTCACCATTTGCTTGACAGTTAGAAGGTAAATTAAATACATCATAATAGTAGATAATGTAACAAATTAGTCATCAGACAGGCCATTAGGACCAACGCCCACAATACGGAACTGACAACAAATTTTAAAGTTTCTGTAACGAATAGTTTTCTATTTGTGCAAAAAATCACGGAATGTATTGATTTGTTATAACATGATAGTATAATAATAAAATTTTAAAACCTGAATCAAATTATAAATTTGTGATATAAATAGTTAAATTTTTAGTAGTTTTTAGTATGTAATAAGTTAGTTTTATAATTAATTTGTTTGAAGACGACATATGCGCCGACAAAATCAGACTAAATTAGTTTCAAATGACAAATTAGTTACTGCTTATCATTGCTACAAGTGATGTAAGACAACAACATTTTGCTTCATTCCAAAGAGGTATGATTCCTCCAGCTTTCTTGTTTGTCTTTTGATATAAGGTATATAGTTAACTGTATCCGTAAGGGAACGTGAGGTTTCAGTTTTCCAAAATGCAAGTGTTACAGGAAGTAAAATGTGAAAAATGCCATAACATGAAATACAGCAACCAGAGAGATTCTACTCAATTACACGTGTGTGTGCTCTTAATCCTCGTTACAGCGACAACTGAGAAACCAATTTACCGAAATTCACGCGAGCACTTCCAGTGTTACTTATCCAACGTTTGTGTTTACGAAACTTTGAAAGTCTCCAATGACAGGCCCTCAAAAGATGAAGAATTTAATTCAAATATATTCATCGCATTTGCACTGTTCTTATGGAATATATGATCAAGAATTACTAAGCATTAAGTCAACTGATTACTTCCTTACAGCGAATCACTACATCTTATTGCTGAATTTGTCACAAGATAAACCAAAACACGTTTTAATACGTATTTTTCACAATATTATAGTCATTTATGGTTAATTTTTTTTAGAATTTTTCATATATTATAACAATTAAAATGACCTCACCAGGAAAACATCAATAAGTTTTATATGTATATTTACTGACATATAAAACTGAAGTTTACCTTTATAGTATATGCGTTATTTATTTTGTTCACGGTGTAGATATTTGTCGATATGATACAGAAAACGTAGATTCACAGGCTGCACACATGAAAACGTGTGATTTAAAAAAATTAGACTTGCTCGTAATTCACTGCTCGGTTGTTTGTAATGCCTCGAAATCTTTATTACCAGATGAATTCTCGCAGTAATACACGTGCGTGCCTTGAAATAACACTTATGTGTTGCCATCATGCCCCGTTTCTCAAGCAGACCGTGTTTACTGTTCCATAGGTTCTGATTATCGCCGCTCACTTTTTGAAACCCCTGTTTTAATAGAAGTACAACTTCCTATTAAAATTGAACACCTCCCTGCATTACCAGTGCATTTAATTGTTAATCAACATAGTCTGCACGTCAGTGCACCTCACCCGTGATTTTAAATCAGTGTTATTTAAGTGTCGTTAACATTTTTATGAAACGTGTGGTCACGTGGCATGGCATTTGCAAATTTTCTAGAAGTTTTTCGTAATTACTGTAATTAAGCGGAATCATTTGCATAAAATGATCACGGTTACATTACATTTCGTCAAAATGTCTTACTACCAGAGTAACCGAGTAGAATTTTAAAATATAAAAATTGTAAAATTTAATGACTTTTGTTGTCTGTCTTGAGAATAACCTGAAAACAACCAAATTTAGTTTTGTTCTAACCCCCCCCCCCGGGGGGGACGTGAAACTTTTTTTCTATCTGTTCACATCTCATTCGTCACTATTTGACGTCAAAAACCGACACAAATAAAAAATGAAAGCTGACAGTGGTCGTTCTGTTATTTTTCAGGGGAGTTGCCAAAGCTGGTGAGCCCAACAACTTGCTCCCACAGACGCCTGGAGCGCTGTACATGGACCCGACAGTTCACTCTGTTCTCCGGCGAAAGCAACGACGTCTAGTCCGGGAGAACCCCGGAGTCTTAGTGGCGGTCGCCAAAGGCGCCAACCAGGCCATTCTGGAGTGCCAGTTCCAGTTTCGGAACAGGCGATGGAATTGCTCTACCAGAAATTTTCTCCGGGGTAAAAATCTCTTCGGAAAAATTGTCGACAGAGGTAAGACAACTTTATCATACGCGAAATGCTATAAATAAGACAATCTCCAAATGTCCTAGGTTGTTGGAGATTGCTGTCTTCTGGGTTGTCGTAGTCTGGTAGAAGTTTACCGACGTTTCAGAAGTCCCTGCTGCCATCATCACCGCACAACAACCCAGAACACAGCAATCTTCATACTCGCTGCCGTAAAATCCTCAAATCCTAACGTAGGTAGTTGTTTTCTGCAGAAGAATTTAGATTTTGTTGTCACGTTCAACTGCTTCAATTACTTACGTAATATTCTACATATCTTCCAACACTACATTAAATA